TGATGCTGAGACAATTGGATGGTATCACAACACTAATGAAATAAGAATGAGTTCAATGTAGCTGATTAGCCTGTGAACAAGGGACCCAATTGAGCTGATTTCTCATCTTTTCAAAATTTCAAGTGTATCATTCCAAATATGATAAAGAAATATTTTATGAATCAGTTGAAAAAACAGAGTTGAGACCGTCAGTTATCTGTTTAAACATAAGTCTGATAAACTTTAAATATTTCATGTACCTGCTTTTAAACTTCAGTATCCGTAATAAATTGCCAGTTTGGTTGAAATGCTGCTTTCATGTCCGTTGAGACCAACTGTTGCTCTTAAGAACCTACAGTGTATATCATTACTTTGATTGACACCTGTCAAGGACTAAAGTTTGCACGATATACTCTGGTGTGTTTTAGGGGTTTCTCAAAAAAAAAAAAGTAATTTCTGATAGGTGAAGAGCCAGTAATACTAAAGCCTCCCCTGCGGTGAATGCCTTCTTACGCTGACTTTGTTCGCTAAAGAAAATGTTTAACATGACTTCTAGATGTTACTTTTTATATCCATTTAAATGATCCTTAATCACATAAAGCAGTGAGCTCCATTATAAACCAACTTTGACATATGGAGTTCATGATCATCATTACCTCTGACACCCCATCTATCTTTTTTGTCAACTATTAATAAGTATTACCTTATCAAAGGTGTTTAAAAGACAGATCAAACAGCATCTGTAGCAAAATGCGATTACAGATACACGAGTAAAGCTAAAAAGGATCAAACATTGCATATTCTTTTAGCTGTAACCGAATAAAGCCTTAATGATGCCTCTTCAAACTGAAGCTGAAAGCTGGTGGCTCGGTTTTGACCAACGCTGTAAAGTGTGCGGGTATTTTGGATTTCCCTGAAAGCCTTTCGCTTCTCTTCCGGTTTAACGACAATCAATTAGGAGCAACTGCATTAAGATTAGACTAATCCATAATGACTGCCTGCATTATTTATCACCTTAATTTCCACTGTGCACTTGTGGAAAATGCTGTGTTGGCTTCAAAATGTGCTTCGTAGTTCTAATGCGTTCGACACTGTCAGAGGTGACGTTTGCAAGGAATTGTGCCTCTAATTGTATCTGTTATCCCAAAGAGACTGCGTTGGGATATGTACACTTAAAATCTAGCAGAATAAGCTATAGCTATGTCTTTTAAACTAAGCTAAGCTTTATGAATATTTTAAATATTATTGAATCTGCATCATATTGCTTTGGTGCCTCTAAAGATCTTGATCACACAGTAGTGCCAGTTCGTTTGGGTCTTGGTACAGGGCCAGCTTCTGCTTAAAGGAACTACACCCTTGAACATTTTCCATTTTATGAGACATTAAAACCTAGTTCGGTACCTGATTGGATGCTATTGTAGGTCATATCGGCATCACAGGTTGATAAGAGGATTTTAGTTCAGGAAGGGAACCAACTGAGCAGTCAGGGGTGGGATAGCATCTGTGTTCCGGCTGTAAGGCTTATGCCACATTGAATCGGAGTGGTTTGAATTGTCTGATGCTCTCTTATCAGATGAAAGACAAAGATGGAGGATATGATAATGTCACAGTTTATAGCTTGACATTTTAAAAGTTTTTATTCCATTTGATATATCTCAATTTCTGCCTTAAACTAGAATCTAGAAGTTCTAGAATTGCGCCGCTCAAGGTGGCTGCATGTTGGAGCAGCTCTGTTACTTTCATTCTGAGATTTTGCTTTTGGAAACTTTTAATTCCTCTTTTTCTGGATGTGAATCACATTTTTTGGATGATTGTTTCCTCTGGTATCGGATGCTGTGCAGCTGGAAGGATTTTTACTGAAACTTTCTTGGTTTTGGACATTTGTTATGATGTGTAACCATGACAACAAGCCAGTTTTCTACAACCAACAGCAGCTGATTAACATCTCAAAAGCTCAAATAATATCTCAACTACAGCCCCACATATCAAATGAGTTGAAAGGATGTTATGTGGATGCATTCCCATCTACCTGCCAGCTGTGCTCGAGTGCCTGACCACTGCGATCCTGGAACTAGCAGGAAACACGGCTCATGACAGCGGAAGGACAGTATCGTCTCTCGGCTGTCCGCAGCGACGAGGAGCTTGGCAGGCTGCTGGGAGGAGTGGCCATCGCTCTGAGAGGAGTTCTGCACAGCATTTGGGCAGTCCTACAGCCCGGGGGAACCGAGAGGCCAGCCGAGTCTGGGTGGACGGATCGGACGGCATCTGCAGCCAGTTCCTTAGGATCCACTGTGGGATGGACCTTTACAAGAGATCCTTCCTGCCTACAGCCATCAGCATCTACAACATCTCTTAATGAAATGAGGATAACGAGTTACTACAACAAATAATTTCCCTCTGGGATTAATAAAGTATTTTTGAATTGAATTAAATTGAATTAAACATGGGCAGCACGGTGGCGCAACTGGTAGAGCTGCTGCCTCTCAGCGAGCAGGTCCCTGGTTCAAACCCCGGTCCAGGGGCCTTTCTGGGTGGAGTTTGCATGTTCTCTCCGTGCATGCGTGGGTTTTCTCCGGGT